ATGGATCATTCAACGGTTACACGCATGTGTTGTGTCTATAAACAATAAAGTCATTCATTATATTTATTCTCTAAGCACTTCTAAATGAAGAGTTATCATGGGCTGTTTTACGCATAAAATATAAACAAACATTTAGTTCGAAGGACAAAACAATAATAGCAATATATTATGTAATAACAATCCATATAATTGTTGCCGAACAAGGAAATTTGAATTTCCATGTTTGATCAAAATTCCAGCAAATTATTTTTCCAGTTGAAAGCCTAATATATATATAGGGTAGAGCGGGGCTTGAAGTTTTATACTTATGAAATTTATATTTTGCATTCGTTGAATAATCAAGCTATTATTTTGTAAAATTCACTTAAAATTAGAATTAAATCATTAGATCTGTTTGCTCCCTGGCCGTCTTATTTTACCCCGCCAATGAGGTAAAAAGGATCAGGTGACAAATATTTAAAAAGCAGCAAAAAATACATTTCTACAATGATGAATTAGCTGGGAGTTTTACTGAACATAGTCAGATAGTTGTTTATTTGATATGTGTTAGTTGTTGTGATATATTTTTTATGTATTATATATTTTTCTTTGCGGAAAGTCGTATCATTATTTTAAATTCATATAACAGCGTTAATAAAACAATAATTAGAATCAGTGCTGGATTAACCCGCGAGGCCCGGGCCTAGGGCGGCACAATTTGAGAGGCGGCAAAATTTTCTGAATTTCAAAATTTTGAACCTGAAAAATTGTCACGGCCACTTATTTTAAGGATTGATCTTGATCTAGGTAATTTTCTATAAAATAGAATATTGTTCATTCTCTAGACAAACTTATTCGAGGGCGTCTCATTAATATTTTTATTGATGTATTATGTTTAAAATAAAAATTACCAAATTGATAAGCTTTTTGGAGAAGTGTTGAAACTCTGTTCATTTTTTGTAACTTTGCTAAGGTGAGTCTTATATACAACATGCTTTAAAAATTGTTCGATGGTTTCTTCTTTTACTTTCGGTATTAAGTAAAACCATGGCACATACATACACATACATTTTGAGGTGTACCAAAATGTTGAAATTATATCTAAATAATTTAAAATAAATTGTTTAATTGAAAAAATAAAATTTTGTCTATTAAAAAGGGCGCCTGAACAGATAGGGCCTAGGGCGACAGAAAGCTTAATTCGCCTGATTAGAATACTGTATCCTCTATGTTATCTAAATTTATTAATTTTAATGAATAATTATTAATATATAATTTTTCTCTAGTTCTAACAACAAGTAAAACATTTTTTATTTTTTTTTTTCATATCCTGGTACATACACAACTCATAACTTTTGCGGAATTTTCGCTTTATTAGCTACACCTGTGCGACAAAAACTTTTTATATATTATTATTATTTTATATATTATTATTATACTCAGAAACCACGCTTGTGAAAAAAAATTAATCTGAATAAAGTGAAGTCGAATATTTAAATGTGATGTGAAGTTGCAAGTTTTTTGAAATAACCTTCATCCTGATTTTAGATTTAAATTAACCGAGCTAAATAGCAACATCCAAAACTATATTTTATTCATTGAGTAATAAATTATGTAGTTTTCATTCTGTTTATTTAAATTCCCAAAAACACCGATAGCGGCAAAGACAGGCAACGCAACGGTGGCGGCTTATGTCAAAGTTTTTATTAGTTCAAAATGACTGCATTTAGAAAGGATATTGTGTTAGGCATATGTATATTGGAGAAAACACGAATAACGAATTTTTTTCCGCAAATATTGAAATTGAGTCATTTTTTTTGTACGCGAATAAGGAATTTCTACTAATTTCTTCTATGTTCTAGCAAAAGTCATGTCAATTTATGGTTTTTATTTTTTTACTCTGCTTTTACTTTTATTTTTCAATAAAAAACTTTTAAAGTATTTTACCATTCTACACACCTGATACACTTCAGTACATTTTTTTGAAGAAGGGCCTCTCAAAGTCGACCGATTTTGAACATTTTAAATTGTAGTTTAACATAAAGTCTTAATTCTTGAAAACTAGGGGCGATTGTGTTAATGTTTTTGCTTGTGGTCCCAGAAATGTTATTCACGGTTACGATTCCAAAGTTTAAATGAACAAAGTTAATAAAAACTAACCACTATGACCGAAAAATGTTCATAATTTGATGAAAGCTCTAGCTTGCACTTAAAAGCTTGTAACTTCCAAACAATGTGAGAATTTTTTTCTAATTTTTTAAGGTCTTATATATATATATATAAACAGCAAGTTGGTTGTGAAAATTACTTTTTCGTAGAACTGGATTGAAAGAGAGCCTATTTTTGACGTGTTGCCCAATGGAGTCGATTCGAACGCAATTAGTACCATACCTAGCTAGCATATATGCATCCATCGCTTTCAAACGTGTCTGAAGAATATTTAAAAGATACGCATTAGCATACGAACAATGGGATACAGATTATGAATAGATATTACGATAGTAAATCGAGATGCCATCGTCGCTCGTTAGATGCTTGTTGGGGTGATAAATTTAGCTTTAAGTTATAAAGGAAAGTAAGAAGTCCAACTCTAGTTGTAAGTTTATCGACATAGAACGACTATAGGCAGTCTTACAAGAGATCGCACATGAGTTTTTATTTATTTTGTGGAAATTTTTATACATAATTTTTTAAGGATTTTATTTATGGGTGCTATCTGTAACATGCGTAACTAGTAACAGGTGTTTTTCAATAGAATCCTAAACAATATTAAAATATTTTTTGTCGCAACTTGACATAAATCTGAAGATATATTAATTATAGAAAAACTGTTACAACCTGCCCCTAGCCCCAGTACTACAATTATTAAGGATTTTAGATTTTTAGAGATTAAGTTGCCGTTTTTCTGATCTACCTATACGTCGTCTATATCCTCACAAGTTAATCAAAATTATCTTCACACACTCAGGCAGTTGGCTCTCAAATCACTAATCATATGTTTTAGGAGATAAATATAAACTGTGTTACAGGAGACACTACATCTTTAATTTGTATTATGATAATGATTGTAAATTACGTTGATTGATGACAAGAATTTCTGTTACAATTAACACTGTATACTGTATTAATTGTAGTTTACGTTGTAGTATGGAAAGAATAACTTATAAACAAGACAATTTTCTTAAAAATAAGTAAAGTGTAAATTATTAGAAGTATTATTGTCGTAACTACTTGATTTGGTGGACGTTACAACTAACACCAAACACGAGTTAAAATAATCGCAACAGTTATGGAATTATTTTTTCTTGATTTTGTAAAGAAATAGTTACAATAATCTTTATTTTGTAGAAACATAATCAGAAGATCTGAAGATATATTAATTATAAAAAAGCTATTATAATATGCCCATAGCCCTCGTACTACAATTATTAAGAATTTTAGGTTTTTAGAGATTTAGTTGTCGTTTTTCTGATCTACCTATTCGTCGTCTATATCCTCACAAGTTAATGAAAATTATTTTCACAGACTTAGGCAGTTGGTTCTGAAATCACTAATCATATGTTTTAAGAGACAAATAATGTAATTTTTTTTCTATGAAGTGCTCTTAAAAATATTCACTAGCCCTAAATGCTAGTTTGAAATTCCTTAACATTATAATTATTTAGTTACTTTAGTATTACTCTAAATTAAATTATATTGATATTATAATAAATCCAATATATATATATATATATATATATATATATATATATATTATCTTGTTTTGGAATTTAATTTCCCAATTATGTTATTATTAAATTTAGTACGGACTTGTCAACTTTACTAGATACAGCAAACTCCCATAATTCGCTTTTAAAGTTTTAATGTACTCATATAAATTAAGTTTTATAAATGTCTTAGTATGTTTAAGGATGTTAGGATTTCAAATTGTATATCATAACCCGATAAAATACAAGTAAAACATTAAAAATTTTCAGATGACTTCATTTTTATATATTCAGTTTTTATATAATGAATGAAACATTGCAGCGGAAATGCACAAAATAATATTTAACTTTGAAACACAAATTTCTCAGTAAGGCATAAGATTATCGGAAATCGTGCAATTATTTTTCTGTGAAAACTCTACAGAGGAATTTCCATATATAAGGCAAAGTTCACCCTCTCGTAGAATTGTAACGTGAATATAAGGGATGAGGTGTTAGGCGCGGCCTAAAGTCGTTCGTTCTCGGTCAGATCAAAGCACCTCTGTGATTGGTCGCGTCTAAATAGCATCTCGCAAACCGACCGCTAGCAAAGCTTTCGCCTTCCACCCTCACATCGCGATATCGGCGTCGCTTTCCCGCGGAAGGGAGGAAGGCCGTCTCTGCACAAGTGTGCTAACGCTGACGCTAACGCTAACGTCGAGTTCCGCGTTTCTATGACGTTCACGGGCTGCGACGCATACGCCGACGTGCTGTACAGCGTATTATATAGCGACCGCTACATACTGCTATACGGCTATACAGCTGCAGCCATCCGGCAGCCCGTCGGCCCACCGCCACCGCCCGGCGGACGAGAGCGTCCCTCGTGCTCCCTCGGCCGCTCGCGTCGCCCGCATCCTCGATCACATGCGATGCACAACAGATCCAGGAGCCGAGCCGTAGCGGCGGCGCCCGAGCCGACACGATTGCGGACGCCGACAGTGAAGTGTGAGCGCGGAGCGCGAGCATCGTGTGTCGCCCGACATTCACGAAATAGACCCCGCGTGGTTAACGCTGTACTCCGTTCACGCGCAATCTCACAATATTCACGACGAGTTCTATTCAATTTGTAAACACACGTTGCCGCGCTTATTGACAACATTAATAACTCGATATTGTCCTTGTACAGGACACGCGGAATAGTATTAGCACATCTAGTGTCAATATCAGAACAGTGTTTTGTGATAAAAATTAAAATCAGTGTTCGGTTCGGAAGATCGCGATTATTGTTTGCCGATCGTATATGTTGTGTGTTTCTGTTTGTTTGTCTCCTCGATCATCTGTCAGTGAGTCCTTCGCGCGTCTCCCGCTGTGCAGTGTATTGAATATTGTTTTGTTTTGGTTTTGTTATTGTTGTGTGTTAAGTAGAGAGTGCGATGTCGTCGCGGACGATGATGATGGCGTGTGTACAAAGATAAGAAATGCGCGAGGGACAAACGTCCTTCGGGTGTCGTTGAAAGCCGTTGCGGGCGATCGGGCCGGTCGCCCCGGTGCTCTCGCTGCGAGGATAGAGCAGATAAGACTCGCGAGATGCCCCACGCACACAGCGCCAGTGGGGGCGACGACCTGGGCAGTACTGACGAAGTGAAGGTCTTCTATGTCGAAGGAGATGGCGAGGATGAGAAGCGCTCCTCAGAGAATCTTCTCGAGGAAAAGTCGAGTCTCATCGATCTCACTGAATCCGAGGTGCTAATTACACCTTACAACTTACACCTTATTGTGTATTCAATTATCAATTGTGCGCACTGCAATTTGTGTCGAAGCAGTACAAGTTCTCAGTGATTTGTTATGTTTTACAGGAAAAGTCAGCGACTGGATACACCGCCAACAAAAATGCGTCGAGATCGGATCATAGTCCGGTGTTTGGTAAGTTCTGTTCGAAAATTTATCTAATATATCTATCACTGTATTGTTGTTCACAATGTGCGCGAAATATTAGGTTGTCAAATATCTCCCTTCCGCTTTTTTGCTCTTGGTTTATAATACAAAAGGCGATATTTGACAACATATTACTTCTTTCATTATCCATCGAGGGATCGCTGTCAAACGCGTACCGCAGGTTTGTGATGATACGCGCCGATGAAAGTCAATTTGCGACTGTCATTCACACACGCACGTGTATGCCGACTTGTTCGGCTTTTGTAATTTTGTTGTCGTATTTGCTTGTTGTGTACATTGATATGTCCAATGTATGCTACAAGAAGTGCGCTGGTGGGATTTTCTATGGCTTGCGTTGACATTGGAAGCTGGACTGCTTGCCGTAGAGATCCTGCTGTCTCTTTATCTGTGCATGTTGTATACTTGCTATTTTTAGATGACGCCCAATACGATTTCGTTCCATTTGTTCGACTGTTTGTGATTCGACTACAGACATTCATTATAATATAATATCCCGTTGTTTATTATGAAGCCATGACAGCTGAACATAGACCAGATTTTCATTAAGTCTGTAATATCAACAGATCCTTTTTCAGTCACATAGAGTATGTCTATTCAGTTGAGACGCGTTATCAAACGACGCGCGAAGTGTTATCTCCGACAGTACACTCCGCATAGTGTTTATTTCGTATTTTGTGCAATTAACTCTATAATTGCTCATCATAGCAATGAACTGAAATGTAAACTATGCAGATGAACAATCTAGTCCCATTATAACAGTTCACTCTCGTATAATTTTTCGTAGACAATCTTTCGAAAGATCAATTTTCATGAAAATTTTTCAGATAATTCAAAGGATTACTTATTGTCTTACTTTTACAACTATCACAATTTGCTTCAACAAAGCTAACACTTGTTATCTTATCAGACTACTTATAATTATTAGTCATTTGATATTAAATTGTTGAAATTCGTGTTTTTATTAAATGAAATTTTACTCATCTTTTGACATTGAATTTCACAAGTATTGCGGTTTCACATATATCAAGCAAATGTTGTAAGGATAATTTTATTGGATTAAATAAGTGGATTGAAATTAGATAAATGATTTTTGTGGCAATTACATCCGAAACAACACAAAAGCTTTGAAGTTAATTTATTTCATAACTAAAACTTGTGCTCTTGTACGCCAGTATTTATTTTCGTAGTAACGCTTGATTTATTGCTTTCAAAACATCCTGTAAATGTAAAATAAAATATTTACTCGTGTAGATATATAGATGGCAAATGGAATTTCCAATATAAATAAACACCTAAAAGGGATAGGAAAGAGAAATCTTTAATTAACCACAGGTAATATTGCTCTTTAGTTAGTTTATGTAGCTGTCAGAACCTAAATCTGGCCACGCATTTTGTAAGTGCGTGTTTAAAATGCACTAATGAATAAATGAACGTCGTACTTTATGAGGAACTGGTTTTTGAAATTTACGGCTATCGAGGAGCAGGTACTATACTATGTTCTCTGAACTATGTACTGTAGAAGTTTCTTATTCGCGGGCAAAAAAAATGCGATCTAATTCCTATATTCGCGGCTAAACATTTCGTTATTTGCGGACTCCGGTGTATATCGAACCCAATACTCTTTGTAATTGCCGTCATTTTGGAATAATAAAAAGAACTTTGACATAAACCGTCTTCATTGCCTTGGCCCTCTTCGCCGCTTTCGGTGTTTTTGGGAATATAAACAAACAGAATAACTAGTGGGGCGCTTGGCATCGTGTCTTAAGGCAAATTGCTGGAACTTCCCGTACCAAAATTTTTTTTTTTTAAAAGTTTAACATTTTTGAAAAAAATTTACTCTGAAAAATTAGATTTTTGAGAAACTATAAATTTTTGACAAAAATTTCCTTTTTTTTTTTGAAAAAAAGACTTTTGAAGAAAAGTGTATTTTGAAATATTTTGGAAATTCTGAACTTTTTTCAATCGTACTGCTTTAACTGCATAGAGACGAAATATCGAAGCGCGTAAGCGCCGCGCCGCCGTCTAACGGATAAGCATTGGTACCGAACCCATAGGAATGTAAACAAAATTTATACTTATTGTTAAAATCTCTATAAATATCTGATAATTTGATGTGCATATGTTTAATGATCATTTTTGACCGCCAAATGGCATTTTTTTTTACTTTTTTTACTAGATCTCCGAAACCGCTAGATCTGCTTCATGAAAATTTAAAAGGTTGTTCATCTTGTCAATACAAATAAAATGTTTTTTGAATTATTAAAATCGGACACTCTGTTCTCTTAAAAACTGAGTTACCGTTCGTGGCACTTTTTGCCCCGTATCTTCGAAACGACTAGACCTGTCTATGCCAAAAACTAATCAGCACGTCTCCTTATCAACAGCAATCGAGTGATTTTTGAATAATTGAAATCGGTTTAACCGTGTTCCCGGAATCGTCGACGAAAATTTGTATCCGCACACATACATCCATTTTTTCTAAGGTATGCCAAAATGTTCAGAAACCTCTGAAACGGCCTTGTTCACTATTTAATGAATAAAATATATTTTTAAATGTTGCTTTTCCGTTCTATTATAACATTTGACTCATACCGACATGAAACAAAACATACTCATAATCAGTATATTGAAGAAGAGCAATTATTTTCCTTCAACAAGCAATAAAAACGTGATATTTAATTTTAAAAACTTGGTCAAGATTTAAAATCTAAAGTCTTAATCTTAGTCCAGATTCAAATATCTGATCTGATTTGAGATCTGTGCTATTTTTATATGAACATTGATCCGTATATGGAACGAAGTCTTATTTTTAAGAAGCAAATTGCTGATGCGACTGCTGAGTATCAGTTTGAATTGAAGAAGATGTTAAAAAATGCCGATCAAGGAAATATTACAGATTAGCCTGAACATAATTAATCAAAATGTTTAAAAATTACAATCTCCATAATCCCATATAAATCACAGTTTTTAATTGAACGTATCTCCCGCGAATAAGGTAGAAGATCTTGTATTCTATTTTTGCTAATAATTTCATATAATTCTATTATGTCTTTCTATAAATTTTGCAAATTAAATTTCTATAAATAAATCATACAAATTACCGATTTTTCAATTAATTATCAAAATAATAGATAAAAAAATTAATTACTTTCGATTTTTATTAGATTTTGTGCAGCGTTTTATACATCGCTCATGTATCACATTCAAGAGCAAAGTTAGTTCAGCATCGCGCTGAAGAAAGTTATGCTTAACACTTATATTTACAGTTTGTAAATGTGTTCATCGTACTCGCACAACGGTATAATTTCTTTAATATATTCATATGACATAATTGAAATCGAAAGCTGTGTTGAATTAGCTTTAATGTCACATTGCACCTCTACATACTGAACCTATATGCACGCAATCAATTTTCAAACTGACACATTACATTATGTATAGGTGCACGCAGTTTCGCAAACAAGTGTTGAACCGTGTGCGACAACCTTATTCGGCATTATTGTGGAGATACGGGAAAGAATTTTTAATAATTTTTTTTTTTTTTTCATTTTATTTTTGTTTTTATTGAGTAAAATAGGGCTGTAAAATATGCAATTGCTAGAAATGATAATAAATTGAATGTATATAATTAGGTAGGATAAGTTATTGTAATCGTCCAAAAATCGAAATTGAAAATTTTTGCATTTATCGACGTTTTGAAGGTTTCTGAACATTTTGGCAGAAAAAATTAATGTGTGTTTTGTATGTATGGATACAATTTTCCAGTCACGTTTTCGAGCGCACAGATCAACCGATTTGAATGGTTCAAAAAACATTCGATTCCTATTGATAGGGAGATGTGCTGATTAGTTTTTGGCAAAGGCGGGTCCAGCAGTTACGGAGATAAAGAGCAAAGGGTGCAGAAAATAGAAATCGAGTTTTTGAGAGAACGGAGCATCCGATTTGAATGATCTAAAAAACATTCAATTTGTAATGATTGGGAGAAGAGATGATTAGTTTTTGGCAAAGACAGGCCCAGCCATTTCGAAGATACAGAACTAAACGTGCAAAAAATGGCAGTTTTTGAGAGAACTAAGCGTTCGATTTAAATGATTCAAAGAACTTTCTGCTTGTTTTAACAAAATAATTGATTTTGGAAAAAAAAATTGTTTCAAATTTTTTTTCATTTTTCTTTGTATATCGAAAAAATTCTGATTTTAATTTTAATTCTGACTAAAGTTCTAATATACTTTAAACAAATAATTTCAACTTTGCAATTCAGTTTATATAATTCTTATAAATATATTAGACAATGTTACAGTATTTATTTATAATAGTCTATTTAAAAACATTTAATATTCCTCGAACATTTTGTTACGGTACGGTAAGTTCCAGCAATTTGCCTTAAGGCACGATGCCATACCCCCCGAGGGCTCAAATGGTTCCAAATTGATAAAAAACAATTCTCTGAAAGTTTTAGCCCTTAATATTGTCTTTTCGATAGAGCGCAATTCAATCAAAGTTTTGTATGGAAATAGCATAAAAAAAATTTTCACTTCGACACGAATAAAAAATGACACGAATTTTCACTTTTAATTCATTTGTCGCTAAGTTATACCTAATTTTTTTTTTAATTTTCAAAAATTTTCCATGCTATTTCCATACGAAGTTTGATTGATTGCACACTATCTAAAAGTTAATATTAAGAGCTAAAACTTTCAGAGAATTGTTTTTATCAATTTGGAACCATTTGAGCTCATATTGAAATTGCTTGCTTAGTTAGTGAATAAAAATATATATTCATTGATACACATACCTTTATTAAATTGTTACTTTTATTAAAATTTTGTGCACCTTTTTTTTAAAGAATTATTGTTTAAGAAATAGAGACTCTTTTTCGCTAGAACGTACGGGCTCGAATAACAAAATGTCAAATTTATCTCTTGCGCCAGTTTCAATTAAAATTAGTTACTTTTATTAAAATTTGTGCACTTTTTTTTTAAAGAATTATTGTTTAAGAAATAGAGACTCTTTTTCGCTAGAACGTACGGGCTCGAATAACAAAATGTCAAATTTATCTCTTGCGCCAGTTTCAACATATTTATTTAGCTGTTTTACCGCGATTTTACTAATTTCAGAATAGATAAAATTATTTTATTAGGGTTTTGCTCAATTCTCAAACCGCGTTATAGTGACTCGTGTTTTAAAAGTATCATGTTAGAAGGAGGATGGTCTGATCCGTGTTATACGGGGGTTAATAATTCTTTCATTTCCATGTATATTGAGTTATGTTGGTTTTTGATTATGAACATTACTGTCAAATATATTTTTGACGTCATATTGTCGCATTCTTACGTCGTTTTACCTGATCAAACGAGCAATTAGTTGCGGTTCCAATGTTCGTAAACATTATTTGTATGCTTCCTTTCATTATTCAAGTTTCGAGAATTGTAAAATTTAGTTAATTGTACAATCTGAAAATCACATTTACCCATGAACGCACCGGAATA